CAGCGGCGAACGTCCAAGTCCCGCTAGCCACAGTCAACGCCCAGCACCTGCTGCAGCGCTTCGGTGTCTTGCAGTGGATGCGCGCTCAAGTGGAGGCTGCCCTAACTTCCCTTGAAGCCTCTTCTCGGGGTCGTAAAGGGACCGCAATCTCCGCGGCAAGGGACTGCACAGCACTAACCAGTCAGCCCGTGCCCCCCCCACCTTTGTCGCTGCATGCAGCATCTTCTACAACCGAAAGTAAACTGCTCCACCAGCAAAAACACCTTCATGCGGTGGGTGGGGGCCATCGAATTGGCGGCGTAGGGGGAGGAGATAGGACGGAGGCTCCGCACGGGGGTGTGGACCCAACACCCAAGTGGCTGTCTCTTATGAGGGACTGCACGCGTTTTCTGTGGTCTCTGATTGCCGCCGCAACATTGGCCGCTCCCCTCCCAGACTGGCCAGCCCCACGCATTTGCATGGGTGGCGGCAGCGTTTCCTGCGCTGAGGATGGCGGCGACGCACCAGGAGACCAAGCTGCGGCGAGCGTCGCCGATAGTTGTGAAGGCGCCGTGCTGCATGCAAATTGCAACGGATGCCCGTCAGTGGAACAGGCAGCACCATCTGTCACGCGTGGAGAACCAGAGGAGACAGGGCATGTTGAACCTTTCTGGCCTCTGGAGACAGGCCCTGGGAATCAGCATCTGCTGCAGGCCGCACTAAAGGCAAGGCGTCAACTTTTCAAGTTGCGTCAAGGTGCTGAAAGCAGCAGCGGGAAAGAAGAGACGGGTGCAGGCGCTGGCGAGGAGGGATGTCGAACGCAAACGCGGTCCTCTGTCGGCTTCGGAGATGGGCTGCGTCAGGCACATGCAGCTCGGCATCTGCTGCTTGACCTCTTACAGGGGTTGCAGCGGATAGCGCGGGCTTGGTTTGTCTTTGGCGAGGCTGCATGGGTGTTTGAGGGGGCCCGAGACGGCTACGGCGAAAGCATCATGCGGTGTACTGTCACCCCGCCTTGGGCATCCGACCTGCTGGATGCGTCGATTGCGTGTCTCTCATGTCTCTGGGCATTGGCGGCGTGTAGCCAGTCTCTTGGTTTGGTTGGGGAGGAGGAGGGTAATGCGGATACCTTAGGAACCTTTCAGAAACAACAGGCTGCGCTGGCTTCTGCTTGCTGTGTGGACATCCTAAGGCTGTGCGCCTGGTCAGCGTCTCTGCAGGCCAAGACGTCCCCGGGCCGCACGCACGAGGAAGTCATGTGCACGGAGTTGAATGCATGCGAAGATCGGTGTCTTTCTCTTTGGGAAGCAGTGTATGTTTTTATTTGTGAGAGAGGGCTCCGGCCGTTGACGTGCCCTGAAAGGGCCCCTAGGCATGTCTTTGGAGATAGAGCAGGTAGGAGCCGCTGGGTGCGCCTCGCGTTGCTGCAGATCCAACGCCTTTGTGGAACAAACAACGAACACCTGCAGCAGCTCATTGCCGTTGCAGAAGGGCTGTGATGCACCAGCAACCCTGCTTTTTTTTCAACCGCTTGTTACGCTGAGTTGATATAATAACAGAAAGGCAAGAAATTGACACCATTCAGACACTCGAGGCAACTAGGACACAGCTTAGAATAGAGGCAGCAAACTGAGTGCAAAGGAAACAATCAAGACAACAGATACTACTCAATCACACGCACAAGTCCACGAATAGAGAAACAGCTTTACGGCGTGACTATCAGGGATAAGTGAGGATTGCATATGCGAGTCAAAGCAGGACAAATAAGAAAAGCAGAATGGACGACAGAGCCAATACAGAAAAGCAATGGAGACAATGCAGACAAGTTTGTAAAGGCTTTAAATGCAACCGAAGATCACCCGGTAGGCAAAGTAGGTCTATAAATGCAATAAAAACGACAGCAGCGGAGATTGACGAACGCCCGCAGGCATCGACAAACTGTGCTGTGTAATCGTCACAAACGGAAGCCTGTTCCTACAGGGAACCTGCGGCGGCGACAATGCATGCATGCTTTGTATGCATTCTTGCCGCATGTAACATCTCAACATGTCAAATATCCACAACGTAGAGAGACGGATGGGGGAAGGCAACTGAGCACGAGCTCGCAGCTTCCCGGGCACTGCAGAAACATCCTTAAGGAGGCCACCGGCTTCGATGGAACACACCGACGACCAGCTGCTCTCTCCGGCCTCAGCTGGAGCTTGAGCAGCCAAGTGTCGCCTCGTCGAGTGCCCAGCAATTAGCCGTAAGGCCGCTCGTTGTTGGATGCAAGAGAAACAGCATTTCTGCGCGAAGCTCCATTAACATCAACTGCATCAGCTCTGATGCAAACAGACTACGCAGAAGTGGAGGCAGTCATCCGCAGGTCTACTTGCTGGCGGTAACGTCGCCTACGCGTTCTTGCATCGAGAGGGGCTCCTGCAGGAGTCGCAGGACGCCCTGCTCATCAAGAACCCACCAAGCCTGTTCTGTCAAGGCAGAGGGAACCAAAGCAGGAGCAGCAGCATTTGGTTCACACCTCTGATGGGGAACGTGCGCGTCTTCGCTCGAAGCAGAAGCTGAGGAGGAGGGTGAGAGGGACCCCGTGTCGTTTAGGGGTGAGGAGGTCGGGGGAGACGGTTTGTTGGCAGATACCGCA